GAAACCGACCCAATGTAGCCAGCGTTGGTTTTTGGCCAATATCATCTAAAAAATGTTGAGCGAGAGCATCGAAGCGCTCTTCAATTTCTGTTGTCGCTGTTAAATGAACAAAATAACCAACGCCATAATTTTCTACTTCATCAATTCGAAAAACGGTGCCTGCATCAAAAAGAATTTCCTTTTCTGTTGGCATCGCACTTAATGCGTCGATATTAGCGAATGGATGCCGCGTTTGGGTGACAGTAATTCGAAAAAGAACTGATTCTAGACCTTTAGGTAAATTCATGTTCAGTGACGACAAACTTGTTGCATGATTAGCACTTTCTGATGTCGATAAAAATGTGTTTATCGAGATAAAGCCTTTCTTTTGATTTGCATCAATAGTTTTCATCTCATCCGTACTGATAATCTGGCCTCGGTATACAACAAGATTAGGGGTCGATGGACGCGGTAAACTGGCCAGTTGTTCATGAAGTTCAGCAATGATAAATCGAAATCGATAGATAATATCAATATCTACAGTGCGAAAAGCACGATTCAGACATCGATAGAGGAAACTATCTTTCGTGTACCAATGAATTGCTTGACCAGTGGTATAAGTTCGTTCGAATTCTGCTATACGATTTTGTTCGTACACATCATCTTTGTAGCGTATACGACAGGTATCAATGAAATCTTTCTTCGCTCGGTCGTCACGATTGTCATACATGATAAGAATAATACGCATAAGTAATTGTGACCACATAAATGATGCAGTTTCTTCGTTTAGATCACGAATAGATTTCTGATTTTCATCCGATTGAAAAATGCGCATCGGTGTAAAATGAACGGAATACGTAGCCAAATCCGGTAAAAGGCTCGAAAAAAGACGTTCTTTTTCTACAAACGTGCCCCTAATTTTGCTATATTTCTTTGCCCATGAATTATGTAATAGTTCATTTTCACAGAAAACATAGATCCTAACGATGGCTTCTACATCGTGAACATGCTCTATTATATTGATACCTAATGTACCAGATACAATGAGAAAAACGCAAGCGAGTGAGCTTTTAAGTGTGCTTAAGTATGTTATACATTCGTTCAATTCCGTAAAAGTCTTCAGATGAGCAGTCAACCGACGCAGTTCGAGTTCTGTATCGATACAATCTTCATTTCGATTGATGTTACTATCAAGCCACACGACAATAAGACTTTCGATATCACGAATGAGAGTACCATTTGGTAGAATATTCACTATTGTTGAATGAAGTAGAGAACGTTTAGATTCTGAAGTACAAGCTTTTGACAATGATAATGCATCGGTATCCTAAAAATATCGAGCTCTATCAGAATGATAACAAAATCCACTGAAACCATGTACTAGTGTTGAAAGTTTGTCCCTCTTTAAGTATAGGAAGCATGAAATCATTTTCATCATCCTTGAGTAAGAAGAAAAAAGATTCGAAATTGTCAAGGATTTTTACCTATTCTTATAAACGTTAGCGTATGAAAGAAGGAAAATAATAGTTCTAATTATTATTTGAAAGGCCTCCCAGGCAAACAAAATGAATAAAAACTCATGTGAGAAAGCACGAGAAAGGGTGGGGTTGTGCCTCCGAGAGATGAGAAAATTCAAACGAATGCCGACACTCCCACGCCTGCCAGGAAATACGCTCATTCTCGTTCGAAAACAGAAAGTAATGAATTCATCCCCAACACAGGATACGAGATTCAAGAAACACGAGCGAAAATCCAAGTTTTAACAGGAGTATGCGTTAATTAACGAGATGAGAATTTTGAACATATTAAAACCGGTGAAAAACTGACAAAACAATGTGTTGCAGTCAGTTAAATGTTCAGATAGTAAAAAAAAACTCACATCACCCATACGTCTCTTGCAAATATTTTTCGATGATATATTTGTTTCCAACTTGAAGTTGTCAGAACAAGTGAATCATATTGACTTGTTTACAGCATGCGCAGTACGAAGAAATGTAGAAAGTCGATAGACGCAAGCAAATTTTTTCGTTCTGCTTCGTTTACCTTTACTGCACTGATAACAAACAAGCAACGAGCGTAGTGATTTAATAATTTTCTTGCAATCACACGCTATGTCGCTGTTTATTATTTATATCAAATGAAAATCGAGATCAATCACTAGAGGTAGAGGCCACTTGTGTCGAATGTCGATACCAGTGTGAGTATTCTGTCCATGAAGACATCCGCACCCCATCATAGAATATTCTGTCATCTGTTTCTATTACTTTCATTTGCAGAATATTCAACTTTTCCTTGAACCTTCAAATCACATCAATCGGAATAAGACCTTCAGTAAACGGAGCCATGTAATAATTTTGTTTCATAAGTTCATAGATAGAATTCAATGATATGACTACCCATGTAGCCAATAATGGATAAATAATGGAAAAATGATTCATTATTTTCCATTATTTTGCAAAAATATCAAATAATAAATTATAATTCATTATTTTTCGGAATTTCAATGCATTTCAAT